AACATGTTTATTAAGTTGCACTGCCCATTTATTGGATTATTTACTTTTCCTTGTTTCATTTATGATTTCTTTACACATTCTAGATATTAATCCTTTTTAAATGAATATATGGCAAAGACTTCCTCCTAATATATAAGACGTCTGTTTCTTCAATCCATTCATTATTTCTTTTGAGGGGCAGAAGCTGCTTCAATCTTATTGGTAATTATTGATCTGTTTAGGTTGTTTATATCTTCTTGGTTCAATATTGGTAGGTCATATGTTTTATAGTTTTTTCACTTCTAATTTTACTAACGTGTATCTTTCCTCTCTTTCTTTTGCTTAGTTTGACTAAGAGTTGATCAGTCTTGCTTATCTTTTCAAATAATCAACTCTTTGTTTTATTGGTTCTTTATATTGTTATTTTAGTCTCCATTTCATTAATATTTTCCCTGATCTTTATTGCTTCCTTTAGTTTGCCAATTTGGGGTTTGTATTGTTTATTTTTTCTTTGACTTTGGGGTGCATCATTATCTTATTTCTCTGAGTTCTCTCTGCTTTCTTAATGTATGCTAAAAAGTCATAGCCCAATTCCTCCCAATTTCCTTAGTGATACACTGATTTTTTAAAAGTGTACTTATCAGTTTCCATGGTTTTATATCATTTCTGTAGTTTCTCATGCTATTGATTTCTAGATTTATTCCACTTTGTTTTAATAAGATACAAGAAATTGTATTGGTTGAGAATGGTTTTATGGCATACAACATGATCTATATTAGAGAAAGTTCCATGGGATGCTGGGAATGTTTATTCCACTGTTGTCTGATGGAATATTCTGTAGATTTCTGTTAAGTGTACTTGATCTATGATACAGTTAAACTTTGAAGATCATTGCTTTGATTTTCCCCTCTGGATGATCTGTCTATTGATGAGAGTAGGATACTGAAGTCACCCAGTATTAGTGTATCTGTACCCTAGTATCCAGTAGTGTATGTGTTATGAAATTGGTTGTTCCAATGGTCAGGGAATATATATATATTTATAATCATTATAGCTTCCTAATGGATTTTTCCCTTTATTAGTATGTAATGACCTTTCTTATCACTTTGAGTAATTTTGTCTTGATGTCTCTTTGTCAGATAGAGATGTAGCTACTCTTGCTTGGTTTTGATTCTGCTCCTTTGGAATATCATTATCCACCCTTTAATCTTCAGTCTGGTGTCTTTGCCAGTGAGATGAGTTTCTTGAAGACACCAAATAGTTAGATTTTAGCTTTTAACCCTTTCACCTGGTCTATTTCTTTTAATTGGAGAATTAAGACCACTTACAATTACAGTTATTATTGAAAGATATGGATTAATCTCTCCCATCTTCACCTTAGCAGGTTTGCTAGTATATTGAGCTAATGTTCAATTCTTTCCTAGTTTTTGTTTGTTTTTCTACTAGTAAGATTATTCTTTCCTGAACTCTCATTTCTTCTTTTTTGGTGGCCGTATTCTTTACTACCTTCTGCAATGCTGGCTTGGTTGTCATAAATTGCTTTAGTTTTCTGTTTATCAAGGATGGTTTTTCTCCATATATTTTAAGGAATTACTTTGATGGCTATAGTAATCTTGGTTAAAATTATATTGTTTTAAGGTTCATGCACATCAGTCCACACTCTTCTGGTCTGTAGAGTTTCTGCTGATAGGTCTGAGGTAGTTATGATATGTTTGCCTTTGCCTTTGTAGTTAATCTGCCACTTGTCTCATGTAGATTTAAGTATTTCCTTTTTGTTCTGTACTCTTGGAATTTTAGTAATAATATGATGTAGAGAGACACTTTCCTGGTCATGACTATTTGGGAATGCTAACTGCCTTATGCACTTGGGTGTCTATTTATTTTCCTAGATTTGGGAACTTTTCTGCTATAGTTTTATTGAGCATATTTTCTATGTATTTGGACTGTATCTTGTTTCCCCATTCTATATTACAGATTCATAGGTTTGATTTCTTAATCATATCCAAGAGGTCTCAGATGTTGTAGTCATTACTTTTAACTTTTCTCTTTATTGCTACTGCAGTGTCATAATTCTTTTACTTTGTCTTCAATCACTGATATTAAAAAATATCTTTGGGTTTTTGAAATTTGATCCATTGAACTTTTCATTTCCAAGAGTTCCATTTGTTTTTTATTTCAAAGTCTCTATCTCTGCTGAAATTTGCAATCATGTTGTTGAATTTCTCATCCAAGTCTTGAATTGACTTCTTCATTCATATTTTTGTTTGAATCATCTTGGATGGCACTGATAGCTTTCAAATCTACACTTCAGAATTCTTTGACACCTCATCCATTTTCATATACTTGGATTCAGTTGCTGAAGAGCTGTGTAGTTTTGGAGAAGTCATGCTGTTTTGGTTTTTCATAGTTCTTATTTCATTATTGCAATCTATGCATCTGTTGGGGTGGTTATCTCTTCCAGTTTTATATTTCTGTCCTCACAGTGAACCATCTTCTCTTCAGGGTCAGATAGAGTTTATTATTGCAAGGGAATCATTGGTGCAGGATAGAGAGAAGATGGTTGACAGATAAAGGGGCCGGTCATAGTCAGACAGGGAGAATAACTTCTAATGTTCTTGAGCAAAAAGGGTACCTGTGATTGAAAACAATTAATGGCATAGTTAAAATAGTGAATACAGGGTTGTTGAATGTTCCCAACAGGAGAAAATGAAGTATCAAATATGGCAGTTATCCTCATCTGACCATCACACACTGTGCTCAGATAATTAAATATCATCTGATTAAATATTTCCTGCAAATATATACAATCATTGTGTGTCAGGGAAATGTACAAGTAAATGAGTAGAGGAATGGAACAGGGAAGAGACATCATAGACTTCATGCCTTCCCTTGGACTCCAGAAAGGAAGAAATACACATCCCTTTTCCAGGCTGTCTGGGCACATATGATAATATTCTGCTAACAATGCAACCACTGAGCAAACCACCTGTTTCACTACTAGAAATATCACAAGTGAACTCCACAGTGTATATAGTTAATGTATGCTAATCGAGATTAAATAAACAAAATCTAGTGAAAAGGATCATAATGTTGGTGGAGCAGGAGGTCAATTTCCTCCATCTCTTTCTTTGAAGCCATAGGCTGGACAAAAGCCACACAATCTTTCATGATGATATTTTTACTTTAATCTCATTGCTCTGGCCTCCATGCACACATTGTCTGTAGAAAATTTGACTCTCAACTTTGACCTCAGGTCAGGAAGAATATTCAGACTGATCTTATTCAAAATGATCTCATGGAAATGTCTTGAAAGAGAACAACATGGATATCAGAGAGACAATGCCATCCTGGGTAGTAGACAGTTAAACACAAAGGTCGTACCAGTAAGTAGTTCTCAAAAGTGACCAATTATCTGGCTCTGGGGAACCAGACCTGCCTGAACTTCTGCCAGTTCCTTCAACTTCTAATGAGGTCTGGGAGTCCAAGCACTCTGTTCACTGGCTGGGGACCTCCTGCTTTTGACCAAATATATGTGGGGAAACTATTGCAGAGACCATCATCCTGAGAGGTGGGAGAGGCTCATTCTTGATACAAGGAGCATGCATGCTCTACACACACAAGGAGGGAATGTGTGGATAGATGGTAGGCACAGAGGCATCTATGAGACAGGTGAGAAATGTGGCAGAAGAACCAATTCTCTGCACCCCCTCCAATGTGGTCCTCAATAGGGCTGTGTGCTCCTGACTTCTGACATGGTGTTAGATACCATCATGGCACAGTGAGCTGGCTTTACTAGCGTGGAAGCAGATTCAGAGCTTTTCCTACAGCGCTAAGGAGGCTCAGAAGGATGAGTAATGTGGTGTACTTGTTTTAAGCTGTTGGCTTCTTTCTGGGATCCAGCATGAAGCCTGCCATGTAAACCCACACTTTGAGATGTGAAGCCTCCTGTGCTACAGGAAACAAATGACAGGACCTTGTTTGTCATTTGACAAGAGCAAATTGAATAAGAGCAGTGCTTATTCACCCCACTCTGCAGAATGTGCTTGGTGGGTTAGAGATAGAGAAAAGCTCCATGCTGTTGACTTTCAGCCTGGTACCAAGAGCCTAGAGCTGCATATTGCCATAAGAGAAAGAACCTGGTAAAGGGATGAACACAGCAAGGGAAAGTTCTGTGAATTTTGAGATAAGAGACAAGAGGTGACAAGTTCCTGGAATGTCTTTGCTAAGTGGGCTAATCCTCTGAATAGCTGTCATCCCCATCTACTAACATATCAACATGGACACAAACCAAGGTTCATCCTCAGTTCATAACTTATACCGTGTCATTGAACAGCCCCAATGTCAGGTCATCTCAAGTTGTATGATACATGTGTTAAAATATACCACTTCTAAGTACCCTGTGGTCATTAGCTTCATTGTGTATCATTGAGATTAACCAGAGGTAGAGGAGGAAAAATAAGATGAATTTAGCTGAACTGTCATTTATTAAAAGATTGTCAGTGGCACATTTACTCCTATTAAAAATAATTTGTCTCAGCACATGGAGACAGGAGGGGGTTTGGAATGGGGCAGGCCTAGCTGAATTCCCAGCTATGGTTTTCTGCTCTGCGATATGGCCTCTCTGGGACTCTGGAAGCCTCAATTTCTCCCACTGAAAAATCAGGGAAAGTACTGTAAATACTAAGGAAAATGAAAAGCATACTGAATTTGGGTAATCAGCAGAGTATTAAGAATTAGTCAATCCTCCAACAGTGATGAGGCAGACAGGAGGAGTATGATGTTGATAAAGATTATGATGATATGGTGATGCTGATGATAATCTGAGCCAAAGAATAATATACTAATGATCTTGTCATACTTAGGCTTTAGGAAGACACAGGTACTCTGATGATAACTGCCAAGTGAGCAACATGCTCTCTTTTCTCACCAGAACTGGAGCAGGAGGTAGAATGACTGGTGCTCCCCTTGGAGGCCTCTTCTGTCTATGACCTCTTCACTAGGTCAAGAATAGCGGGAAGGAGATGACTATGGACATGAGGAATGGAACACCTATCCAGGAATTCATACTGGAGGGATTTCCTGCTATCCAGCACCTAGGGAAGGTTCTCTTCTCAGTGCACCTGCTAGCATACCTGGCTTCCATCACAGGAAATGCAGTCATTGTCACCATCACCTGTACCAACACTCATCTCCACACACCCATGTACTTTTTCCTCAGCCTTTTCTCTTTCCTTGAGTCTTCTCTAACAAGTGCTATCATTCCCAAGTTGCTGGTCATCTTTTTATTAGGCAAGCAAACAATTTCCCTTGTTGCCTGTTTTGTACAAGCTTTTATAACTATATTTCTGGGAGCATCAGGTTTCCTCCTCATAGCTGTGATGTCTCTGGACAGGTATGTGGCCATTTGCAAGCCTCTGCATTATCCCAGCATCATGAACCTGAGGACTTGCCTCCTCCTGGTCACTGCCTGCTGTGCTACGAGCTTCATCCTCATCACAAGTCTGCTCATGAAGGTTTCCCAGTTATCATTTTGTGGCCCCCATGTCATCCCTCACTTCTTCTGTGATATTGGCCCTCTGATCCATCTCTCTTGTTCTGACACCAGAGCTACTGAATTGATGGCCTTTGGTTTCACTTCATTTATCATTTTGTCATCTCTCATCATCACCATCATTGCGTACAGCAACATAGTAGTCACTATCACGCGTCTCCCATCAGCCAAGGAGCGGCAGAAAGCTTTCTCCACCTGCTCGTCTCACCTCATTGTCCTCTCTCTGATGTATGGCAGCTGTGTCTTTATATATGTGAAACCAAGGCAAAGGAGCAGGCCGGACTCCAACAGAGAGGCTGCCCTTGTGAACACGGTGGTGACACCCCTGCTGAACCCTGTCATCTACACCCTGCGCAACAAGCAGGTGCACCAGGCTCTGAGGGAAATGGTGTGCAGAATGAAAATCTCGAGATAAGAAGAAATTACATGGCCTTGGAGTAACTGGTGACAAAAATCCATTTGCTTCATTGTAGCTGATATGTGATCCACAGGGTTCCAGGCAGGATTCTCTGAGACTCTTACTCACTTCCTGTGTAATGAAATCTGTCTTCTCATGGGTACATTTTGTTTGCTGTTCATATCTATCATTTTACTCAATATTCTGAATATTGATGACTATATATTTTAACGGGGATATGATTGACTGAATTAGTTTTTGTCCCTCTAATGCAAACCATGCAGCCTACCCTCTTTGTAGACAAAATATCTAGTGTCCCTAAACTGAGCAAGGCTCTTATTTTTCTAAGTCACTTTTTCTAACTCCAGCCTCTGAGCCAAGCTTATTTATGATTGGCTCTATCCTGAAGCTTTTAGCATGGACAATTGTGTGGGAATGGAGTGTTTATTTCCCATTGCTATGATATCTTCCAAAAACCTGAGGAGTTGGAATAAAAGTGATGTGCTTATCTATTTCGTATTGCTACTGAAAATAATTGTTTTATTCATTTATTCACATGTGCATACATTGTTTGGGTCATTTCTCCCCCCTGACCCCTACCCTCACCCTTTCAGCCCCTCCCCCCTCACTTCCAGGCAGAACCCATTCTGCCCTTATCACTAATTTGCTTGAAGAGAAGACATAAGCATAATAAGAAAGACAAAGCGTTTTTGCTAGTTGAGTTAAGGATAACTATACAGAGAGATTCCTAGCATTTCTTTCATGTACAAATGTGTTACAACCCATGTTGATTCATCTCTAACTGATCTTTACAATGGTTCCTGATCCCCTTCTCATGTTAACCTCTGTAGCTTTAAGGTTTCTCTATTAGTTGCATTTCCTTTATGGCTAGAGATGGTGAGCATTTTTTAATGTGTTTTTTGGTCATTTGAATTTCTTCTTTTGAGAAAGTTCTGTTTAGTTCAGTTGCCTAGTTCATTGATTTGGGGGGAGTTTAGTTTCTTAACTCCCCTGTATATTCTGGTCATCAGTCCTTTGATGTATAGCTGGCAAATATTTTCTCCCACTCTGTGGGTGGTCTCTTCAGTTTAGAGACCATTTCTTTTGTTGTGCAGAAGCTTTTTAATTTTATGAAGTCCCATTTATCCATTCTTTCTCTTAGTTCCTGGGCTGTTGGGTTCTATTGAGGAAGTCCTTGCCTATACCTATTAGTTCCAGAGTGTTTCCTGCTCTTTCCTGTACTAATTTCAGAGTTTCAGGTGTGATATTAAGGTCCTTGATCCATTTTGAGTTGATACTAGTACAGGGTGATAGAAATGGATCTAGTTTCAGTTTCTTGCAGACGGATAACCACTTTTCCCAGCAACATTTGTTGAAGAGGCTGTCTTTTCTCCACCGTATATTTTTGGAACTGTTGTCAAAAATAAGGTGAGTATAGTGCTGTAGTTTCACATATGGGTCCTCTATTCTGTTCCACTGGTCTTCATGTCTGTTTTTGTGCAGGTTCCATGCTGTTTTTATTGCTATTGCTTTGTAATATAGTTTAAAGTCAGGTATCGTAATACCTCCACCATTGCTCTTTTTGCAAGATAAGAAATCATAGGGCTTTGGAGTGGATAATGGCAGAAAACCATTTGTGTACATTTTAACTGATGTGTGAGACATGGATTTCCAGGTGGAGAATTGGTGGCACGGTTGCCTCAGCCTCTATGCTTACCTCACATGGAATGAAATCTCTGTTTTCTCATGGCTACATTTTACTTTGCATATCTTTCCCCTCCCTCAAAATTCCACATCTGGTGATCAATGACTTTAATTGCAAAAGCCTTTACTGATTTTGTATTCGTTCCATTGATACAAATTATGTGCATGAAATTGTTGAAATATGTTGCTTTACACTCTATTTCACTATTATCTAGCCATAAACATTTCAACACAATAATAGTTAGTTACCAAATGGCGCTAAAGTAATTAAAATGCTGAGTGTTATACTTAAGGTTATTGTTATGAAGAAAATAATTGAAATTCTGTCAATGTTCAGCTCACATTACCTCCATTGTAGCCTAAAGCACATGTGTTCATAGTACCCTTTACCTTGGTCTGTATATGCATCAGGTCAGAAATGCCATTCATTGCTTTTCTTGGCCCTTGGTGCAACTATATATGTGTGCATTATTGCCATTGCCATGCCATGCTGGGCAGAAATAAAACGGTTTGGGGTCTCTGTCCATTAAGAAGATTAAATAACCACAGTCTTCCTAGGCTGAACAATGCACTTATTTTTCTAAATTCTTTATTCTAACTCCTGCTTCAGAGCCATGCTTATTTATGATGGTTCCTCTCCTGAAGCTATTACTATAGAAGGTATTATTCCATGGGGCTGGGGACTTATTCCAAAGATCTAAGTTATTTACTTGTGTATTTTGTATTGCTAATGAAAGCAATTAAACAAAATAAACATTTTTCCTGGTGGATTTGTGTTGTCAATACAAAGTAATCTTCTGACAGCCTATTTTATCACCAACATTTCCTTTATTCAGTCATTGAAACTTGTGTGTATAGCTCCTGTTTCCTGAACAGAAATGCATCTTTTTATTTTCAGAGGAGATGCTTCTAAAAGAGTAACACCACTTTTTCATTCTTTCATATTACCCCAATCTTTAAGGTTATATAATTACAAGTAAATTACTACCCTTTATTGGATCATACTTTTTTGGAAAGCCATAGTACAAAATTCAGACTTCATCCTACTGACAATGAAAATGAACCAAATGTGCTCTAAAAATTGGACACATGTTATAATTTATCTCCATTTTATGGAATACGCTATGAGCATTGTACAATGAAAAGAATACAAAAGCCCACTACAATTAAGGAAAGGAGGTACAAAAATTGTTACTCTACTTGAGAGGGAGATAATGATGGATTACAGGATAGAAGTTGAATCAGTATATATGGAACTAATGGTAGACTCTAAATCATTTTCCATGGAAACCACAGAATGTTAACACTCGTGCTGCTTCAACTAACCATCAACTTCCCCAAAGTTAATTTTATTCACAGTATCCATAAAATGTGGTGATAAAGTCAAATAATCTCTGGATTTTACTTGAAATATACTTTATGATACATATGTCAAAACAATATGTTAAGCACTATAAGTCTATATAATTTTTACTTGTCTACTTAGGAAAATAAGAATTCTCAAAGGAATAGCATGAAGAATATGAAAATATGGAGTGTAGTTTTTCCACAATTAGAGTGAACTACAATAAAAATGCATTGAAGTGTTCGAGATTCTGCAGCTATAGGAATAAGTCAAGGCACTTTACTTATTGGTGAAATTACTGAGAAGGGTTTTGGCTTTTCCAAGGTTTTATCCAAGCTTTGGTAACAGTTTATTATGCTTCAAATAATAAAATGCAGCTTATATTTCCTTGACATAGGCCATGATTGAAGAGTGAGCTAGACAAATAGAAAAATGAATTGAATCTATCCATCCAGGCTGGTCACTACCAGACCATTGATGGTATCAACGCTGATGTGAAGAGTGAATCAGTAGAATTTGGGGTCTAAAACATTTTATTGAGACAAATACCCTTTGCTAATTCTGTCAAAGATACTCCCAGTCATAATTTGATAGCACATGTGACATCACAAGTGGTAAATATGCATGCAATGCTCAGATTGCCCTGTCTCAACTTCATTTAAAAAGAAGGAACCAACACTGAGGAATGAATTCAACCAAAGAGGAAGTCAATCTCTACAATTAAAACTATAAAACATTCATGAAGAAATGAGGTCTAAAATAAGTGGAAAACTATCCCCTGCCCATGGATTAGAAGAATTAATATTGTAGAAAATGTCATAACTTCCTGCATCTTAATAGATCATAATGGAATAAAATTAGAAAATAATTACAAGAGTATATACCAATTCTACCCGGATGCTCCCTGTCTCATTGGATCTTGGAAACCAAGCAAGGTCAGCCTGGCTTGTACTTGTATGGGACACTGCCTGGGAATACTGGATGCTACAGGCTTACAGAAAATAAAATAGAGCAAAATAAAATAAGATAAAAAATATTCTGAAACCATACCAATACAAACACATGGAGACTGTATGATCAGTGGGTTCTGGACGAAATAAGGAAGGATATTTAAAATATCCAGGAATCAAATGAAAATTACAAGTCACCTTCCACAACATTTGGGATATAGCAAAGGCAGTTCTAACATGAAAGTTTATATCCATGAATGCCTACATTTAAAAATCAGAGTGCTCTCAAAGATACAACCAAATGATATACACCCAGATCTTGGAAACACAACAACAAACAAACCTCAAATCAGTAGATAGAAAGAAGTGATAAAGCAAGAAAAAAATCAACCAAAAATAACTTAAAGAATCATAAAAGAGTTGATTCTCTGAAAAGATAAATAAGATGAACAAATCCTTTATCAAACTAATCAAAAGAAAGAGGAGAACACAAAATTAAAAAATTAGAGACAGAAGGGGGAAATCATATCAATTACCTAGAAAATTCAGGATCACCATAGAATGTTCAAAACAAGTATGCTCCAATGATCTTAAAATCTGGAAGAAATGGATGCATTGATAGACACGTATGAACAACCAAAATTGAACCAAGAGGACATAAAGAACTACAACAGATCTATAAAAAGCAATGAACTGAAGCTACCATAAATAGTCTTCCCACAAAGATGTTCATGGATTGGCAGAAATAATATTGGAAAAATGGCTGTATTACCAAAAGTGAGTTACAGATTCAATGTAATTACCATCAGAATTCCAATGACTCTCTTCATAGACATAGATATATCAATCCTAAAATTCATGTAGAAGCATAAAAGACCTCAAAGAGTCAAAGAACCTGAGCAAAAAGAGCAAAGCTAGAGGAATCATAATATCTGACTTCAAATTATATTATGAAAGCATGGTATTGTCACAAAACAGACACATTGAACAGAGAATAGAAGAAAAGAACCAGATATAAG